GGACCGTTTGCTCACCTGCGCAGCATCATTGCCACAATCGCCGCCGGCTTTCCTTAGTGTGTTGGGCAAATAGACCGCCTTGGACTTCGCTTCAGCGGTGCCCTCATCGATTTTACTACTGTCGCTGCTTTCAGTGCTCATGGGGAGCCAGGAGACCACCTGTGCGTGCAGTAATTTTTACTTTGTTACCTGCTGCCGACACAGCTTGTCCTATCTCCTAAGCATAGAAACGCGAAGCGCCGAAACAAGAACCTGGTTAGGTCACCGCCGTGGAGAAGACTGGGGGTGCTCTCAAGGTCACCACAGAGCCAGCAGCAGGTGGAGGCGCTGAGTCCCTGGATGCCCGGCTGAATATGTGCGAACAGGTATCGTGGTATTGTCAGTGGCTAGTCCTTGGGAACGAGTTGGTTTCACGGGGCACGGTGTTGAGGATGCAGACGTGGTGCTGGTCTGCGTGGGCCGCCGGGAATTCCGGGACGGCCTCGGTGCGGAGGAGGTTGGCGTCGAGCTGGAGGGCAGGAAGGTGAAGGCGACACGCAGCGACAGCGCGCAGTCACTTCTGAGCTGTTTCGGGACTTGGGCTCAGCCCACCGCAAAAGACAGCGCAAAGGCAAACGAGTCCTCTTTAGTGGCTTTGAACATTTGGTTTTTGATGTGCGTGACCAGGTGGACGACACCTTCAAGACATCAGTGCCGAGCATCTATGCACCTGAGCTAAAGTGGTCTCTGCCCAGATAAGCTCCAGAGTGGTCCGGAGCGGAGGGTTCCGCGAGGTTCCGAAGGTTGCTGGGTTGGTTCCGACGCTTGCGAGTGGGTCTGGAGAGTTCCTGGATGGCTGGAACGGTTGTTGGTCGGGCTTCCGGGGTAGGGAGGGGTTCCAGAGAGGGTTTTGGGGCTATCTGGAGAGAGATTTTGGATACCAGGGCTTATGTGTGACGGGAGAGTTGTAGCGCTGGTGAAATAGAATATTTCTCTACACGGAAGGTGCAGCGTGGTGGAACTTGGAGTTGTTTTCTCTGCTTCCAGATGAAGCAGAAAAACTGCGACAGGCTGCGAGGCGAACTGTCTTTGCAGTAGTGAAAGGCGACGAAATCCAACGACTGAGGCTATTGGCGATATCATCCACGGCCCCATGCTGGCTCACAAGGCTGAGGATGAAGGCGCTATGGTTGCGGAGCATCTTGGTTGCAACACCACGCCTTGCAATTGACTCAGTCCTGCGTGTGACGCACATAACATAACAACGCACACAGAGCTGTTGGCAATGGCTCTCATGGGTGTGCATGAGGTATTTGGCCACTGGCAAGAAGCCTCATCTTGACTACAACAATGTGACTCGGATGCACAACTGACAGAATCTGTCCGTGCGAGAAAAGATCTGTCTCTGGGTTTCGTACTTCACTAGGACACGGCGTGCGGTTTTCGCTTTTCTCTCCGATAGAGGTGCCCTCCGTGCTGTACACGCACCCTGAAGTGGCCTGGGTGGGCAAGAGCGAGGAGCAGCTGAAGGCAGAAGGTGCGGAGAGTGAGAGTGCGTATGGGTTGAAGCATTTCATGCCGGAAATGGAACCCTCTGGGAGTAGGGTACCTTTTAGAACCCTCTGGCAGAGAACTTTGTGTAGATGGGTGTGCAATGATTCATCGGCCAGCAGGATTGATCAGCTGCAGTGCTGTTTCCTGAGGCGTCGAGTACCGCAAGGGCAAGTTTTCCTTCGCTGCGAACGGGCGGTCCATTGCCAATATGGACACAGATGGCTTTGTGAAGGCCGTGTCAGTGTGGCAGAAGCACAGCCTGGCAATCTGATGCCTGATCAGCTGGAGAGGGATAAGGTGAAAGTGCATGATACTGGACAGGTCTTGTCTGACAAGAAGACCGACAAGCTGCTGGGCGTCCACATAATCAATGCCATCGCCGGTGACATCATCAGCCGCCTGTCTGCAGGAACTTTGATGGGGTTGCGCAGGCTTGGCCAGGCTTTAGTTCGCCATTTTGCTGCCACTGCGAATTGTTTGCCGAGGTGGTGCGTGCATTGGGATCGAGTATGGGGCAGCCTCTGAGGAGCGAGGTGTATCAGAGAAACAAGCAATGAACCTGATTTGAGAATAGTGTATGTTCGAATGCTAAAATGCAGGCTTACAATGCTTGCAACAATGGCCAGGATTCGTATAGACGTGAAGGTTTTTCTGCGCTGAGCATTTGGCAGCGCGTTGCATCGGACCTGTCTGGTTTTGGTGACCGATCGGATGGTGACCGATGGGACGGAGCTCAAGCGCCCGGTTCACGTTGCGAGGACCTGGCACGGGTTTGCATGGCCCATCCCACCGTCTCCGAGGTGGGCAACTGGCAGATCGTTTGGATCCCGAGCCTTTGATTTGGCTAGGGCCTTTTCTGTCTTAACAAAGAGGTCGGCCCTCTGAAATGACCACGTTCGTCATCAGCCTGTCTCATGTTTTCTTTCGCCTCAGTTTGATTTTTACTGAGTACACATCCTCATGTAGCCCTGTGTAGCCCTGCGCGGCGGTGCACAGTTGTAGCCATATTCTTTAAGCCACTCCATCTCACTATCGGTGATGTCCCACCCCCATGCATGAGACGCTCATTGGCGAATCACGACAACTTGAGCCCGGAAGCCTAAGCCAGTTGAGTCGAGGCCTACTTGATGCCAGGTGCTCAAGGGAGCTGCGCAGAAGACTGCCTTCGGCAAGGCCGTCAGTGGTTGAGCTGCTGCTTGCCAGGCGCGGATGTGAGGGCGAGAGCCCCCACTGCCACTTGTTTGCTGCTTGTGTTGGCCTCGGCCTCAAATGCCTTAAACAGGCGCAACACTTGAGGAAGATGGCTGATTCAGACGACCATCACTGTTTGCGTGATCGTTTGGAAAAAGATGCCCTATGGCCCTTGGAGAGCATTTCACTTTCTGTGAGATGGCGGCTATTGGAGGACACCAGGGATGTGAAGTAGTGAATTGATCGCACCACATTTGCCCTGCGGTTTGGAGATGCAGATGCTGGCAATGTTTCAAGACTTCTTTGACGTCATGCACAGCATCTTTTCGGGAACGTTCATCGCTGGAGTTGCCCTCCCAAAGCCTTCAGCAACTTCAGTGGAGGTCACTTCGCAACTGATACAAGGGAAGCATAGTGACTGCTGCAAGAGCCAAACATGCACAACGCATGCTGCCAAGCATCCAACGCTGTACGCTTGTGCAACATATCATTTTGAATACTTCCGTGTTCCACAAGTTTTTCCGGCACAGGCCCAACAGAAAGGTTTGTCATGCAGGGATACAAGCAAAGCCCAAGTGCATTTGTAAGACTTACAAACTGGTACTCTATGCTACTTCCCCTTCACATTGTGCTGGCTTCATTGGGGCATTGGTAGATCGTCATGTTGTAGATGCGGAGCGACCCAGCAACTGGCTGCAATGGACGCAATAGCTGTGCAGCTGGGACATGCATCCACAGGGTTTCAGCAATGCGCTCAGCAATCGTTGCTTTTGCCGTGCATCCCGGTCAGGATGGGTTGCCTGGGGAGTGGACGCCATGCGGCACCCCTTGGCCTCGTCTCCAAAGTGAAAATCCGGCCAACCTCAGGGCTGCAACACGTGTCATTTGTAGTTGCATGTTGGTTCTCATTGTGGTGATGGTTGTACTTATCTCAAACATTCCTGAGGTTTTGAGGGGCATTTGAGGGGCACCAAGGCCATTGGTCGATCACCAAAGGGGCTTTGGGCCAAAGAAGACATGCACAGCAGCAAAGCTCCCGAGAGCCTGGCCGTTTGTCCATTGGCCATCCCTTTGCATTGGTTGCAGACACATTTACTCTAGTTGGCAGTATAGAGAGTCACTCTATGGCGGTGCTGATCGCCGGCGGCCTGGCTCTTGATTGATTGAGATGGTGTGCAAGCACCCGTTCCTGGACACCTGTCCCAATTGCTTACTCCGAAGTCACCAACTGCAAAGTGGCATCGTTTTCCTACCACGGCTTGGTTCAGATGGCACGGTGCCTTTGTAAGGCAAACGCCAGGCGTGACTTCGGCTAGCGCACGCCGCACACGCGAGCTTTCTTGCCCCGGAGGGCCGGCGTCTCGCTCCGGCGCGTGCACCGGAAGCCTGTGCTCTGGAATACGTCTCCCCACAATTTGTTCAAGAGAGGGGAGAGAGTTAGTTTGCATCTCGTTTTCCAGGGCAACGGGAGACTCCTGGATTTGCAAGTGTCATGCGACAAAATGCCCTTGTCGTAGAGTTGCCTTTGGGAGTGAAGCACAGGCCTGGTTACGGTCTCAGTCCAAGCTGAACTGTATGGCATTGCTGTCTCTTGCCATTGCACTGTTGCCGCGCCTCGCCGGGCTCACAGCGTGCTGTGGCGCTACTGATTTGCCCGGGCTCGGTGGCCCAACGGGAATCAGCGAAGGTGCCATGTCATGGGCTAGCACTGCGGTAACATGCCGTGAATGCTTACGCCTTGCCTGAGATTCACATGTTTTGGGCAAAGGCACAGGACATTGCATCGCCCCAGGTCAGCATGGCGCCTGTCGCCTGGGACTGCGGGGAACGGGACTTCTCTTGTCTTGGATCTCTTGGGCTTGAGAGCCGTCGAGCCGTCTGAGCTTTGCCCAGGGCAGGAGCCTCATATGGCATATATATATATATTAATATATAGACATATATCACATATATATATATATATTTATATGCATACGCACCTACATGCATTGTGCTTGCTTCTCTTTCGTGCCGCGTGACAACCTTTCAAACTTCGAAGCAGGCAGAATTGCTATACTACCAGAATGCGTATTTGCACAGACGTGATGTATCAATAAGTCGAGAAGAATACATGTCAGAGGATCGGGTTCCCACCGCCGAAGCCTACGTGGCTTTCGAGTTAGCCTCCAGCCGAGTCCAGTTCTTAGTTCGCAAGTCCCAGGCGGGGATCGTGTGAACACAGAGCGCCCCCCAAGTTTGTTTTTCAAGATCAACCCTGAACTGAAGGGCATTCAGTACTCAGTTGCTCCGCAACTCTCCGAGGCTTTGGCCAATGGTGCCTCCGGAAGCAGCGAGGCCGGCCCCGAGATTCTGAGGTCAGAAGAGACAGAGCTGCGACCTGTGCCTCATGGAGAAACCGAAACCTTCGAAACTTGTTTGAAATGCTTGGCATTTGCCATGAGACGGAGAGCTTCTCTCTCAGCTCTGGCAATGTTCCAGAATTCTACTGCCAGTGCTTCTCCTTGGCAGTGTGCGGATCTGCGAGTTTTGTCCACACTGAGCTCCCACGCAGAATGCTCGCTTTCTTTTGTCGTGTAAAGCAACTAAATTGCACGAGACCGTTGGAGCAAATTTGCTCTTGTGTCATTGACAAAGCACGCTTCCGGCCAAGACTATCTATTAGACGTATGCAAAAGTCACATTTCGTCATAGCATGCGCTGTGGCTCAGGGCAGAAATCCTGCCCTCCTGAACAACTCCTTGACATGGAATGAACCCTGACAATCAATTTTCATACCACCGAAGTGTTGAATGTGCGAGGTTGAACCATGGGCAAAGATTTGATGTCATCAAGCCCAACGCTGACTGGCAGGCGACAGCAGCGCTGGCCGCCGCCGAGGCGGCTGGCATTGATAAAGCAGAGGAGGCGCCGGGGCTGCGCTCCTTGAAATGTTCTTTGTCACTTTGCCTTTCAGGTCTTGGTTCTTCACCCGGTGAGCGAATGCAAGCAGTCGTGCATCATGCGGTATGGCCAGGCTGACTCTTCCGCGCGGGCAGCGCTGAAGCATGCCAAAGACGCCAACGACGAACAGAGCCAGGCGCAACAGCAGAGCCAGGTGCACAGGCAAACCCAAGAAGCACATTCTGCTCGCAAGGCGGCAGCGCAGCTCCTGCTCGCGGGCCTTGCGGTGGGCAGCCACCTGGCCATCGAGGACCGCTTGGGGAAGGTTTACCTCGTTCTGAGCCGATTTTTTGAAGAAGCTTCGGCTTGCTTCCTCAGACACTCCAAGGGACGGAGATGCTGATGTGGGGATCGCTGTGGGGTGCCAGGCCGCGGAGCATGCGACGGCTGCCAAGGGCCTCTACAAGAAGCTAGGCGCATATGCCGATTTGCTGGGCTAGAAGGCAGCAATCAGAGCAGCTGATCCATAAGTGGCATCACTCTGCAGAAAAGAGGTGTCGGACATCGCGCGCTGCTGGTTGATTATGGGGCACTTTTTCGCTGGGCATTTGTTTTTTTGACGTGCAAGCCCCCTGGACTACATGCCCATTGCCTCCTGTAGACACGGTCAAGAGTTGCCCTAGCTGGCCAGGTGATGCTGCAGGAGAAGCCAAGGCATCTCACTTTGTGGGCTGCGGCCTGAAGCACATGCAGACAGGCATGACTGGTTCCACGGCCGGATGGCATGCAGAGGCGAATAACAGCACTGAGGCTGGGCGATGGCCACCAAGGGCAACTTCGAGGAAACTGGGAGATCGAGCTTTCCGCTGCCTATTGCACTTAATTGAACATTGGTATGCTTCCGTGTCAACCAAAACGGACAGTCTTGCCAAGTTCGGCGATTGCCAGGAGCACAGTTCGCATCAGACCCCCTAACGACACAGGCTGACCACGCCGGCATCCCCGAATCCAAGAAACGGCTCCAGGAAAAGAGCCTTTGGACAAAGCACTCCGTGCTCTGCGTTGGTTCTTGCAGCGCACTCTGTGCGGTCAGGAGGGCATGGAGCTTTGCAGTGACGCGGGCATCCGCTTCCGGCAGATGGGCTCAAAGACTTTGGAGGCGGGAGGGCAACCTACGTGTGCGCCGAGCGCTGAGCTTTACTCATTTGTACCAAGTCGCCTCTGCCAGGCCCTGGTCTGCTACTGCATGGCGAAGCTATTTCTTGCCCGCAGCTGGCGTCTCAGAATGAAATTGTCCTAGGAAAGGAAGACTTGGAGTCCGGCCTTCGCCTGGCAGATAGCTGGAGGTGGTTTGAGCTGCTTTGAGCTGCTCGAGGTAGTCCTGCTTTTTGGCTTTACCACGCCAAAACGTAAAACCAGGGAGCCCCGCGGCTTGCGCCATTTGAGCACGTCGGCACGCCCTCGGCACGCCCTCGGCACGCCCTCGGCACGCCCTCGGCACGCCCTCGGCACGCGCTCGCTCATCTTCGGCTCGTTAGCCCTGTGAGGCCTAACCAAGGAAGCGGCGGAGCTGGCGGAGGATGCTGTCATGGCGCTGAAGGGCTCCAGCAACATGCTGCAGGCGTTGCCGCTTTTGGCGCTTTTGGCGTTTGGAGCGAAGTTCAGATTTGGGCTTCTCCAAAAGTCAAACAACTTGCACAAAAGAGCCATTGGACGTTTGGACAGTTGGACAGCCTGAATTTCAAAGGGAAGTTGAGGGTCCTTCCAGCCTCATGCATGTTATGCGACTCATGCATGGCAAGTCAATGAGCACAAGGCCTACGCTGCGGACCTTCTTGTGCAGGCTTTGGCAGCCGGGCACAACGGCAGACAATTCATTTGCGTGTAGTTTGTTTGTCAAGCCATGCACTTGCAGTGTGCAAGATCATGAAATGATCGTGCCAGGGTCAGGGCGTAGCATCTTTGTTTGGCAGTGACGTGCTGGCAAGCAGCAAGCATTGAAGGGGTGCTTGGCAACGCCTTCCTTGATTCTCTGCCGTGAGGCGAGCATCCTCAAGGGTGACAGCCGAACGGCACTCCGAGTTGCAAAAGAGAGCCAGGCCCTCAGAGGACCAGATAGACTCCAAAGCCGATCCTTTGATCCACTTCACTTTATTGCGGTGCGCAACGCATTGAAGCGATGGGCACCTTGCGTAATATGCGCGGTAATGAAGTGCCCCGTGCCAGACTTTGACCTCTTCAAGGCGACAGGGAGAAGGCGCGCGCGTGGGCTAGCGCTGAAGAATCCTGTGAATGGGGAGGTGCTGTACTGAGGTTGACCCTTCCTATAAATGGCACGCTTATTTGACATTTTGCAACATGCAATGAACATGTCGGGCTCCTCCCATTCCGTGCAGAGAAAGCTGGACGTACGCTGCTTCATCCGCTTTCAAAGCTGCAGCCTGGGGCCCTGGGGCAAGGACAGCCCGAGCCATGGCTTTGAAGGCGCTGCGCCTGCCGCCGCTGCGCTTGGCGCGGCGCTGCGCAGTGCGGGCGCTGGTGGAGCAAAGGCTGCAGCCGCTCCAGGAGCGCCTCTCGAGTGCCTCTCCAGTGCCTCTCCAGCGCTTGTCGTGCAACTCGCGCTTCCCGGAGCTGGGAGCATCGCTTGCGTGCAACTCGCGCTTCCCGGAGCCAAAAGCATCGCTTGCGGAACTTCGCCAGGAGAAGGAGCCGCAGTTGGTCCAGCAGCGCAAGCAGCTGGAGGCCGCCATCGCCAAGGTTAGCGCCGACCTGGCGGACACCCAGCGCCGCTGTGGCGAAGCTCAGGAGATGCCGTGCCGAGGGGATGAGAGGGCGGTGCCTTTTGTCCCCAGGAGCGTTTGGTTCATCACGACCACAAGAAGCAGGAGATCCTGAAGTCCATCATGGAAAGCTCCGAGCACGCAGACCGATTGAAGCGCGAAAGAGATGCGAAGCAGAAGGCGCGATGGTGTCAGTTGCAACTACGAGGTCTGAACTCGTGCTGCGCTTAGTTGCTGCATGCCAGCCACTCAAGCCACAGGAAATCGTGCAGAAGGCCCAGGATATCGGAGATGAGACAGTGGAGCAGCGAATGCAGCAAGTTCACGATTCTTGGATGCAAGTTCAAGTTTTCTGAAACACTTGCCCCGTTTTGGTTGCTTGGACGATTTTCAGTTTCCAGGCATTCGGGAGGGAGACACTGTGTTTGGTGCGCTGCATATTGATTGCTTGCTGGAGCAGGGCGGGCTTGCAAGGGTCACGGATAATTTGCGCTCGGCTGTAAGGACAGCTCAAGTATGGAGCAGTACGTGCAGCTCGCTCGCAGATTGCTTTTAGCTGCATTGAATGTGCTCGTCGATGTGGAGGCATTGGGTTTTGCAAGACACATGGGCTAAGGCAGAGCTTTCCCAACTGTGGCAGCTCGCTGCGGGACTATGCGCAACTGCACCACGACCTGCCGATCCCCAAGTGAGCCAAGATATCTTTTTGATGCATCGATTTGATCTACCAAGGCTACTTTGCAGCAACAACATCAAGAATGCCAATGCAGATGTGACCAAGACTGATCAGGCAACGCATAGTTGCAAAGGAGCCAAACAACTTGTGCCCCGAGATCTGATGCCAACGGAATCCCTGTGAATCGCGTGTATGGTAAGTGGATTTCAACGCAAGCATGGAATCATTGTTGTTTCGCGGGCCCGGAGGTGCTGGAGGAGCAGGAAAAGAAGAGCTCGGCTGCGCAGCAGCAGATGAAGGCGCTTCAAGAGACGCAGTTGAAGCTCAAGATGGAGAAGGGCAGTGTGCCTTAGTCGAAGTTGGCCATACCTTGCACTTGCCAGTTTAGACGTCACTGACAGCGCCTTCTCGTCTAACAGTTGGGGCTGGCAAAGGAAGCTTTGTCGTCTCCTCGAATTTCGGACCCACCTAGAGATCGGGGAGTTCTTTCCTCCATGTCATGCGTAATAGATGAAAAGGAGAGGACAAAAAAAGCGTGAGCATCCCTTCCCTTCCTCCCAACCAAGTATCACATCTGTTTGGGAGTTGGCAGGGAAGGAAAGCGGTTGGAGATGTTTGTGTGTGGAGCATGGAGAATAAATGACAATGAAGCCCATGCTCTCCCTCTCCCTTTCACCTCTGGATCCAGGATGTGATTAAGAGGTAGAAGCATCTACATGCATATGTCTCTATCCTTTCCCTGTATACCCCAACCACATTCTGTAGAGTTAGGCACGGCTTGGGAAGGTAAGGAAGGAGAGCCTCAGCTTTTATTAGGTAAATGATAGAGGCTCTCCAAGATAGGATGATTATTTCTCCAACCCATCTTATCTACTAGAAATTAATTGGTGTTATGGATGGATTGGGCTCTCTCTGGTATAATCCAGACTGAGCTTGGGTTTCGCATGCGGGCGCTTTTCCTTTGCGGGGGCTTGTGTTGCATCAGAAATTAGCAGAGCAGCTTTTCACCAAGTACACATTGGTGGCTCCAGCTCAAAAGTCGCCACTTTTAAGAACAATAGTTTAGTGTGCGCTTGGATCTTGGACCTATGCCCTTCACGAACTTTGAGCTTTCGCGGAAATCTTCTGGCATTCGAACCGGCAAACAGTTTGTGCAAACTACAACTACAGGAGCAAATACATCGCGCCAAAGAAAGGTTTGGCAATCTGCAGAGCAATTTGACATAATTACGCACTCTCACAAGGTCAACATTTGCTCCTTCTTGCCCCAAGTGCTGTCTGAATAAAAAGTAACCCTTTCGCGGAGCTTCGCAGACGGAGCTTTCGCAAAACCCTTTTGCGAGCTTTTGCCATGCAGGTGTTTCCTTTTGCCGAAGAAATTTAGGATACCGTTTGTATACAGATTCTCGTAGGGGTTTTCGGCGCTGTTTACCTGGACTTGCACAACACACGATCCTTTTTGTTAGCAAGCATAGAAGTGCGTGGGACAGCCCCACGGCAAAGCCCAAGCTGTATCCCGATTTTCCCGCGGTGTCGCAACGGAACGAAGAGACCGTTCTCCCTCATCCCTTTTCCGCATCTCCTACCTCTTCTCGTCCGCCCCCAACTCATGAACACAGACGACAGACGGAAGTAGCCTTCCAACAGAGACAGACAATGTCTGCTTGTCCACTCTCTGCCACATTCCATATACAGCTATGAGACGTGGAACGAGAAGAAACTGATAGAGAGATACAGGAGGAATGAGAATGACCGCCCACCTCCCACACATCAGTGAAGGAGCACAGTGAGGGCAGCCAAATCTCGAACAGTTTTGCGCACGGCTCAGGTGGAGAGTCGTCTTCAGAAGATCTCGCAAGAGAAATCCCTTGTGGCGAGCTACCAGGAGAGGCCAGCACCAGCTCACTGTGTTTATGCGGCGTGCGTCGAAGGACACTCTGCAGCGGACGGTCCAGTGGGCTCAGATGGACGTGCCTGACGTGTCCGCCTCTGCTCAGAATCTTCCGCTGCTGGCGCTGGTTCGGCGTGAGAGACTAACCTGAGAGACGTACAAACGGTGTATCAGAAGAACATGCTAGTTCATGTAACTCAACGACAATGTGAAGATAGGAGGCTCTCAATGTCTCCCAGCCCAGGAGCATCGCCAACTCCATACAGTCTTGCAACTTCAAGCGGCTAAAGCAGCTGAACGCCTCTGCTGCGGAGATGCGGGACCTTTGCAATGACCTCATGAACCGCCTGTCACAAGGCACGCGTCGGAGCAACATCGCAAGAAGAAGTATGCACGGCCATGGCCATGTCATGGCCAGGATTTTCATCCGTCGAGTTGAAGCAGATGGGTTTCCGCGTGGAAGAACTGTGCAAGAACTTCAGTGCTGCTGACCTCCTTCGCGCGGGCTTCTCCAGGGACAGCATATCAGTTCAGGGCCAATGACTGTTCTGCGTGCAAAACTTTATCGGGTTCCAAAGGTATCAAAGGTAGGAAGAGCTCGCAGGAAGAGCTCGCAGCGTACCCAAGCGTCATTCAGAAGCTCAAGGCTGACGGACACTTGGAGGCTTTGGCATGACGTGACCAGCTAACTTCAAGCATTGCATGATGGCCGGGAAAGTCATTGAACCAGACTTTGAGTATGTCACACATTGTCCTGCAGCCTGATCTGAAGCCGGCCTGCGGGACAAAAGCAGGGGCTTTGGGATCGCTGGCCTGAGGCATCGTTCTATCAGAGTCGCAAAAGCACCTCATTGCTCCATCCACTCCAAGTTGAAAAGTTGGATTTCTTTACGTTTCCCAACTGCTCCCAGGATTCTCCTTGGGGCAGCTCAAGGAGCTGGGCTTTGGCGTGCAGGAGCTTGGTGTGGCCTTCCGGGCGAAGGAGCTGGTAGCGGCTGGCTTCAACAAGGCACGCGGACCGATTCCGATTCCGAGGGGAAGACGCGAGACGCTTCGAGACGCTTCGAGACGCTTCGAGACGCTCTCGAGCACTCAGGAGCAGCTCCAGGCCTTCCCAAAGATTGGCCTCGCACTGAAGAAAGATGGCAGCTTGGGCCATAGTCCAATCATTTTGGAGATGTCAAGAATCTGATCTGGGCCATGCAAATCTGGGTGTCTTGTTGATCAACCACGTTTTGTCATTCCGTGGCTTTGAAATAGAAAAGCAACTGTCCAGCCACGATAGAGGCCCAGCAAGGGAACCGCTATCCAGCAAGGGAGCAGTATGGTCGCGATGACAATCGTCCGCTGTGGTTTCGCTATGTCCTCTGCAAGCTTCTGGTATCATTCTGCATTGCTACATGCTTTCAAAATCCACTAAGCTTCGCATTGGGACTGAAGAAAAACTCAGCTAAAGTCTTGCCATCATTCCATTGCTCACTGAGGCGCACCAGGCCTGAAGACTCTGAAGACTCCCTATTCCGGAGCAAATCCGTTTTTCATTTCAGAGATGCCAGACTAAGGCAAGACTGCGGCCACGAAGACAAATCCGTTTTTCATTTCAGAGAGCATGCCACACGAAGACTACAGGTCAATTCCGTATTGAAACGAACTTGGGAAGGGGACAGGACGAACTATGAACGGGCGGGAAGGGACTGAGATGGGCCCTCTCCAATGTGACCTCTTGTCAATCGTGCTTTCAAGTCGGTTGCCGCCCGTGCCGACACCGGGCCGAGGCTTTTCGGCGAGGCAGCTGAAGGACATGGGCTTCAAGGCTGCAGAGCTGCACTTCAGCGCCTTGGAGCTGGCACTGGCCGGATTTTCTCAGGCGCCATTCGCTAAAAGTTGCTGACAATTCTTTTCTATGAGTTTGATGTCATGGAACTTATACAGCAAGTAAAGCTTCACTTGACTTCTAATCGGCTTCATTTTCTTTTTGTGTTGGAGAAGTGAGCGGACTTGTGACTCGCTTTTGCCGTGCAGGAGGAGCTGACCGCGGCAGGGCTTCCGGAGGTACTCATCAAGGCAGGTTTCGTGTTTGTCGTAGTCTCTGGCCTTGACTCATAGCATGACTGCTGGGCGGTACCGCGAAGCTTTTTCTGCTTTTTGAACCAAGGACCAACGATTGCTTGGGTTTGCTCAGACAACCCACCACGCTGACGCTGCTTTAAGAGTGCACAGAGCTGAGAAATGGAGAAAGCCAGCGCTGTTACCTTGGATTCACAGGACTATCAGGGATTGCTTAGCGTAACTCTTTGGACTCTTTGGACTCTGGACATGGATTCGAATGTCTCTGGTGCGCGAGCAGGCCGTGCTGCACTTCCGCGAGGGCTGCAGCATGGCGGAGCTCTTCAAACACTTTGGGCCGTCCGAGTTGAAGGCAGTTGACGGGGGGATGACTTGCCGACGAGTGAACCGAGCGAAATCCAAAGCCGTGGTCCCAAAAATACGGAGATAGAGAGTTAATAAGATATCTCATGATATTCTGTTTATCAAGTTTACGCTGACCTTCGCGTGTAACCAAGCTCCAGTTGATGCTCAGGCGGCAGGCTTCGGACCTCAGCAGGTCTATCCGGACTCGACCAAAGCGACAGCCTGGTTTCGCTACCAAATGCTGTAATGCCGGCTGACGCAAGAACAACTCATGAATGTGATAGAGGCATTCTCGATCTGAAGATGAAGATCAAGCACCTGCTTGCTTCAGCTAGCCAGCCGATGCAAGTTTCATGCGTTTCTTACTGCACATCATGTTTCAAGCGGTGGGATGCCCGTATCTTCCAAAGATCCAAGCGGTTTTGGCAGGCTGCAAGCTTCCACAGTTGCTCAAATGCATGCCATTGAACACCAACAAATTGTCGCATGCCTCAGCAGAAGCAAACCTGGAAGCTCCGTATGTACATAGCGCACAGTTTGCGCAAAGCATTTATATTTGTGTGCAGAAGGGAAGAAAGAGCCTCACAAGCAGCTCTTCTCAAATGCAAGAGCGGATGGTCAAGCTTGGAAGTCTTCCATCCAGTTTTATTGCGAGGAGGCGGGCAGCTTCTGGCAAGCAACAGAAAAAGGATCGAGCAGAAGACATGCGCTTTCAACTTGCCGCACTTGTATTAACATGTGTTTTGAAATGCAATTCTGTTGCCAGGCGTGAGCAGTCGCTGATGTGGGACGCCTATGGATTCATGGGATCTGGTTTCAGAAGGGCCCGTTTGACATCACTGAGAGGCTGATCGCTCTCGCATTGCATGGCTCGTTTTTCAATTTTCGGACAAGCAACGGGGACAAGATGGCCTGGGGACTTTAGGCGAACTTCTGTTCGAAAAGCCCAGCCCGAGGTTGGCCGCCACGGGTGCTGTCCACAGCTCCCTGGAGAACTTTGATGATGCGCAGAAGGTGCTCGATGAGGCTCGAAAGGGCATGGAGCATGGAGCCTTTTTGTTTCGGGGCGGCGAAATGACCTGTCACGAAGCGATATCGATATCGTTGAAAGAAAATGGACAATTCCGCGCCAAAGATTGATTTTGTTTTGCTAGAGTGGTTGGAGAGGCGCATTTTGCCTGAGGCGCAGAACTTGGTCGCAGAGTTGAAGGACCGAAGGCGTGGTTCCGTTGCCGCGGTTGCTTCTGCCAGGCTCTACCAAACCAGGGTGGCCAACGTGTCAAGTCAATGGTCAAGGGGTCGGGTCAACGGGGTGACGGGGCGAGAAAGGACGCAGAAAGGAGGGGCAGCTGAGCGCTTGCTTGGAAGGCTCGAGGGCATGGTGCTGCGGGAGCTCGCCTTTGCTCAGCTGCAGAGGCAGGGAAGAGGTTTTCGCATTCGGCGCGCACATGCAGTTGGACATGTTGGCTTTACACTTTGGGGTTGGAGTCCACCATGTGGTGGTGCGCTGAACGCGCTCAGGGATGTCCAGTATGCAGTTGACTTTGGATCTTTGCAGCCCTGAGAAGCAGCGATGCAGTGTCCTAAAGTTATAAGCCATACTGTCGACATGCCAGGAACGCTGCTGATGAAGCTGTGGCTGCTTGCGGAGAGGCACAGAACACTTTCCGTTTTACACTGCGTGTGTTTTGCACTTGGACCTGGATCAAGCATTCTGTTCTTTGAATGCCGCACGTCTTTCATGAGAAGCTGCATCACTGGCGACATGATCAGCCACCCATTTTCATTTTCATTTGGGAGAGACGCGGCCCTTACCAAGGTTTTGATCACTGTTGAAGGCATTTGTCAGCTTAGAGCGCCAGCAAAGCCAGGCAATGTCCGCCTACCAGAGTGCAGGTGATCGATTGGGCGAGGCACGCACCGCACCGTGTGGACGGGGGAAGTGTTGAGCCGCTTGAGTCGCTTGAGTCGCTTGCCTGCAAGGCTTCGGTGCTGGCGTGCATGGTGCAAGCAAAGATCAAGAAGGAGGACTTCTACGCCGCGTCCCAGGACTTCCAGCCGACATTGTCATGTTGGCACGGCACGGGTCGGGTCGCATGTTGTAAATCGTAGGCGGCGAATGAAGAGCGGGCGATCTTTCAGCAGCTGGGAGATCGAAGCAGAGAGGCCTGAGACCGGGGGGCACGCAAAGACTCGCATTGGATGCCCAAAGAGTTTCTCCTGGCTCCACTCACTCAGTCCAGCTCAGCCCAGCTCAGCCCAGCTCAGCCCTTTTGTGTGCCTGTGAGCGGCAGGCGAACTGTTTGTTGACAGCCGCTGGCCCGGGGCTCGGCCCTCCGACTGGAGACGATTCTGACGCAAACCAAGATGGACTCCTGAAAGCCGCTGGATGTTTGCAGTGCACTGCAAGGCTGCCTTTGCAATGACAACAATTTGGATCAAGCCTTGGCACTAGTCAGAGCCTTAGCTTGCCTTTTTGACTGTCACTCGTACTTGTACTCAGCTTCCTCTGCGGATTTATTGGTAGCATCCGGAGAATGTACATGCTTTGCCACAGCACAGCTCTTCCTAGCTTTGAGGCGGATGAAGCGCTGGAGATATGCCAAGAAATCGAAGACCCAGCTGGCGAGGCACGCTGTTGAGACTGCAATGTTGACCTGTATCACGCAACCCATGCTTATTCTAGGATCTATATAAGCTATGTCTCTTTGCGCCCTACCGAGTATTCAGATTTGCAAAGACCCTTGCGCTCCAAACAAGTTGCGAATAACGTGGCCGCAGCGCGGAACCAAGCCTTGGAGCTCAGGCGCAGGCGCTGATGGCCCAGGCAGAGATTAACAGCCAGCGGGAAGAGCTTGCTGCTCAGAGTCAACTCTTCAGAGTCTTCAACTCTTCTCTTCCGGTTTTGGCGCAGCTTGCAGAACTCGATCCTGAGTGAGTCCCAAACTGCCCGCGCGTGCCCAGCATGGAGACGGCTGTGGAGAAGGCCAAAGAGATGAGACGCCGAGCCAAGGATATTGGGCACAGGCCTGGTGCTGTGGCAAGGGTTTCACTGCCTGATTCTATCCCCCGCGAGCGTTCTTACGTTTTCGCTCCAAGAAGAGATCAGTCTGTGCGATCATTGTGTGTGCGCCTTGCGTCAGGCTTCTGGAGGCTCAAGCCTGCAAGGCGTGGGCGTGTCTGTCTGTGTGTGTGTGTGTGTGTGTGTGTCTATGAAGGGCGTTGGACCCCCCCGCAGACCCTTCGTCAAACCCTTGGTTTGCATTTGAAACTTCTGTCACACACTGGCAATGGTTTGTCCGACGAATTCGTTTGCCGATGCCAGGCCCTGGCCTCCGTGTACCAATCCTTTGACCGGCTCGTGGAGGCGGTGCGCGCCGCCAACGAGGCGGGAGGTCGGGATGTGCAAAAGGCTTAGCTGTTGCCACAACCGCTCAATATGAAATGTGTACTCGAGTAGAGGGACTGACATGGAGATATCACCAAGTTGCCGTTTAAACAACAGAAGTTGCTCACAAAGTTTCCATGGCACTTGGGGGAAATAATGAAGCTTGACCGTGGCTCATAGTACATAGTCCCACATACTTTGGTACTCAGGCTTCTGGTGTGCTCCTGCCAGGCAGTGCACATTGGTAAGAAGGCGATGTACAAGCCAATCATCGTAGAGATGATGTCGTGCCCTCGCAGACACGCAGACAGGGCAGGCGTCCACGCAAACAAACATGTGGCTGGTTCGACCAAGCTCTGGGAGCGTGTAGAATGTGCTATTTGCCTGGATAATTGTCAAGCAGTTCCAGCTTTGAGGTAGCAATCGGTACAAGGCGCTTCGGCCATGTAACGCCCAGGCTGCTGGCGTCAAAGGTCAACAGTTCCCTGGTACTACAGGACGGTGCCCAGGCGAGATATGCGTAGGGAAATTGTATCCAACTCTGATTCAGCTTGTGCTAGACTGAAGTCATTGTTGAATTCAAGAGGCATTTCAAGTTCCGGCGCATGGCCAGGTCTCCGTGCGGGGGGCCGAAAAGGCTGTGCGGCCGGCTCGGGAGGCAGGGACCCCTTGCAAAGCAGAGGACACCGCGGGAGTTCGCGGATGTCGCTTCGTGTCTCTCCGATGTCAACTGCAGGCGGTCACGGTTGCCAAAGCCACAGGGAAGCGATCCCTAATGAGCCCGGACCTGAGAGCCCGCATTCCTCCGTGACCAGATTTCAGGTGACTACTTGTTGTATTCTTTCACAAAAGCGAAATATATTAATGCATATTGTGCGTCGACCTGAGCCATGTGAGTTGCCGAGCCGATTTGAGACTCGGTTGATGTAAACCCTGGTATGGTGACCCTGCAAGGCACCTGCCTGTACCAGCTGGCAGAGGTGCAGCTGATGTCCTACCAGCTGGGGCCGGCAATGACCTCCGCCAAGGAGGCAAGAAGATCTTGGAGGTCTACACAAAGTGTGCTTTTTCCTTTGGTCCTTCCATCCCAAAAGGCAACTCTAACATTCCTAAAAGGACCATGCGATGGCCAAGGAGCTTCGAGTGTAACTTGCGCGATGGCCAAGGCCGTTGGAAAGTTTGCCTGACAGGCGTTGGACAAGTTCCGCGAAGGCGGCGACAAGCCCGGGGAGGCTGGTGTGCGGTGGCCCGGAAAGCGAGGGCGGCACCCGAATTGAAGCTGTATACCGCTGAAATGGTGTTGATTTGGCGTCAGAAGGGACTCAGTCCATTAGCTTTCTTGAGGCCAAGCTCTTCAGGTCGCAGGTCATGTGCAAAGTTTTTGCTCCAAGGCGGTGATCCTCATTGCGGAGACACACTATGCTGGTGGCAAGCATGACAAGGTCCGCTGACAGAAATTCGGAAATCCGGGAAGGGACGATTCTGGACGATTCGAAAGCGTGGTTTTGCCGTGAGGCCGAGGAGACTGTGAAGGAGGGCATTGAGCTGGCGCTGCCTGCCTTGTTGCAGCCGAGCCCAAAACTGGCCAGCCATAAGAAGGGCCCTGTAACATTGACAATCCATGCTCCTGACAATGGGAACGCCTTGCAGTCTGTCAGAGTTTTTCATGGGCTCTTTGGTCTTGGAGAGATTCCCTTTGGCAGGCTGCTGAGTGCAGCGATCAGAGGAAAGAGCCCGCACCCTGGACCCAGATCCAAGTTTGTCGAAAGCACGAACCCAGGCTCACGACAAGAAAGCGAGTCCTTTGTCCTTTTAAGCTCAACTCACTGATACATTGCTTGTGCTTGCTCAGGTCCTACGGCAAGGCGCTCTTGCAGCAGATCCAGGATAGCACGGTGCCTCAGCCTTGTCGCTGGTTGCATCCGAAAGCGAGGGCTGTGCCTCAGAAGGCAAGGCTGGTGTCTGCTGTCCAGTGAATCTATGCGAGTCTGCGACTTCAAAATCTTGCTTTTAGAGGGCATGCGTCATACATTTTTACCGGGTCCTTCGAGGGCTTGCCGCTCCAAGGCCGGCAGGCGCAGCAGCAGGCGGCACAGGCGGCTGCACGGCCTATGGGGGTGCGGCTGCCCAGTCTGGGTCCATATTCATACGGGTCCTGTGCGATAGGCCATGCTTTCACCTACTTCACACGCAGTGTCGCCTACTTTTATTGGCGCATGTGACAAAATGCCAGGGGCTGACAACTCTTTCCTTTTTGTGTTTGTGCTTGTTTGTTTGTGTATGCGTCCGTGTGTGCGTGTGCGTGTGCGTGTGCGTGTGCGTGTGCGTGTCCGTGTGCGTGGGCGTGGGCGTGGGCGTGGGCGTGTGCGTGCGTGCCTGCGCGTGCGTCCGCGTGCGTGCGTGCGTGCGCGTGCGCGCGTGCGCGTGCGCGTGCCGCGTGCCGCGTGCCGCGTGCGCGTGCGCGTGCGCATGTGCGTGTGCGTGTGCGTGTGCCTGTGCGTGTGCGTGTGCGTGTGTGCGTGTGTGCGTGTGTGCGTGTGTGCGTGTGTGCGTGTGTGCGTGTGTGCGTGTGTGCGTGTGTGCGTGTGCGCGTGTGCGCGCGTGTGTGTGTGTGTGTGTGTGTGTGTGTGTGTGTGAAGCGTCCTGGAGCACGGACGGAAATTCCACATTGCAGGGGGACTGGAGCCGATTTGCCTATCCAGTCCAATGAAGCTACGGCATTTCGGTGGATACCGGATCTGATCAATCCGGCGTACCTGCCTATTTCCTGACCCTCTTTCCTGATTCCTTTTGCGGTTTCTGTTTGTCGCTGTTGCTTCCTGTTCGGTGTCGATGTTGTGACCTGTTGATTTGCGTTTGCATTCAAGCATTTTTACTGACTGCGTTTTTCATCTCGGCTAGTGAAGCCTCTCGAGATAAGTGTGTTTACCCACGGCCTGTCCGACATGGCGCTGTGGGCTGGACTCGCCACATGCGGGAGCCCCCTGCGAGGGGAAGACCGTTCAAGTGTTCAAGTTCAAGCTGCAGTTCAGTTCAGCGCGATTGACCACGATCAAGGCTGCAGCTTGAGGTCTTAAGGTATTCCGCACCCAAATGGTGCTCTGCTGGTTTCATGCGCGTTGCACTGCCTGCACTGCCTGCCTTTGAAGCAAGGCTGCACCCACGAGGTTTCAGGTTCCTAAGCTTCATGCGCCAGTGACGAGTTGGTCATACACCAACTCTGCGATTCGTGGCGTTTATGGAAGCTTTCGTCTCGGATGAGTTCAGTTCAGATTCATCGGCATAGCCACATGAGGCACTTTCATGAGGCCACTTGACAGGCACCTCTGAGAACCCCTTTGTGCTCGCATGCATTTCTGTGGAAACTTTTGCCGTTGCCGCGGGGTTTTGGCGGTCCCCTGGTGGAATTCCCTCTGTTTGGTTTCGATTCGCAGGTTGAAGTTGGCTCGCATGCATTTGCACCATTGACGCATTTTTGCCGCAGTTGTGGTTTTGTTTTCACCCCTTTCCAACCTTCTCTCTCCCTTGCGAGATGGCTGGACACCAGCTCTATGACATGATGCATTCGCTCCTGCACAGCATTGCGACCGGCACCGCGTCCGGCTCACCAGGCAATTGTGGACCGAACTTGCAGCTGTCATCCCAGATGACGCAGCCCATGAACCTTGTACCGTCACCCAACTCGCAGACGGCATCCTTCACACCTTTCCCCATGATGCCCTACGGCGGCCTCTCGAACTTTGGCAACCCGATGGCCATGATGCCCTACGGTGGCCCTCCCAATTACGGCAACTTGGCACCTGGCACCATCATGCCTTTCATGACTCAGAGCAGCATGCCATCTTCACCGCCCGAGCCTCAGCCGGCGCGCGCGCCCGAAGCTGCCGCTGCGGCTCCTGCCGCTACCTCCTCAACCAACCACCCTCCCCCGGACACTCGGCACCATCCCCACTCTCGCAGATCCCGTTCCCGCCACAGACAGCACCGACACTCCCACTCCCACACCAGCCACCATCGCAGGCACAACAAGTCGCACCGACGACACGACACCCGACGATCCCGCAGCTACAGCAGGTCACGTTCCCTTTCCCGACACTTCCACCACTCCCGACGTGCACACCACTCCACTGTCTCCCTCCGCTCCCGCTCCCCCCGACACAGGTCCCACCATCGACACTCCCCTGCACCCAGAGCCACGACTTCGCACCGACCCACTCACACTACTCATGATTCCACCTCCTGGCGCACTTCCGGGAAGGATTCCAACAAGTCTCAATGGTCCTCCTCACACTGGCGGAACCAATCGTGGGGATACCCACCACAGAACAAAAACCGCTGGGACATGCACCACCATGGCGCCAGCCACACCGGCCACCGAAACAACCAGGACAAACGATCGTCCTGGTCACTGCAGCACCATGGGCAGCAACCCCACCCCACTTCCCGCACCGGCCACCACAACACTAGCTTGCCCCCTCACCCAGCACCTGCGGCGGCCTTCACTTCCACTCCCCCTCCCCCTCCCCGACCCACGCCGGCTACTCCTCACCCTCCCCAACCCCCCTTCGACAACACCGGTGATTTGGATCCCCCTCCATCGGAGGCGGACATCAATGCCACCACCACTTCCGACAACCGGTGGCTTGATCTATGGAGAAACGTCATGGACACGGCCAAGACTGACCCGCTGCGAGTTCCCACGCCTAGGGAGTTGGGGGAGCTGGACCCGCTTCCAGCCTTGGACATCTCCAGGGTGGAACAGACTAAGGCCATTTTGATGGACCTGGACCCTGCTTTGCCACCTTCACATGCCGATCTCCTCGCGGAATGCTGGGAACTGCGAACCATGGACACGGATGATCCCATACCGTTCGATCCCAGCTTCTACCACCTCTTGGGACGGGAATCACACGGCATGGTGTTCGCAACCACTTGGTTTCCCCGACCTCATCCTTGGCCAGTTGCTGGCGGAGACCCGGAAGCTGGATCCGGCACGGCCTCCCATCACGCTGTCATGTATGTGCACGGCACCACCCCGGATCGAGTGCGCCGCATGTGCCATGAGAACATGATCCGACCCGCTGCTTGGAGGCCCGAGAACCATGACTACCCGAGCTTTGGATGCTACGCTCAGGCCACCCCCACGGCATGCACGCCCGACACGCTCGGCCAGCTCTTGCAGAACTTTACAATCGGAAAGTCTCAACTCGGCGCCATCGCTTTTGGGGAACTACGCTCCATCAATCAGCACAAAATCCTCGAATCCGGGGGAAGCCACGAGGATCAACACAACGTGCGGCGCCACTTCGCATGCCGCCGAGGCAAAAAGTGGTGCCTTCACTCCAAGTTTGCGATGCTGAGAGGCATCGCGCTGCAGCGCCCGGCTTAGCGGGGCGCAAGTGTACCATCTTCCACCCAACCAGGAAAAGAATTGGTGCACTGTTTGATCGCCTTTTTTCTTTGCTTTGCTGTTCTGCCTTTCCGCGACCGTTCTCTCACCTTGTGACCTTACCCGCTTGATTCCGCTCACCAGCTTTTGGTTCGAACATTTCCTTTTCCCCCGTGTTTTCTCATGGCTTTCCAACCCCCTCGAGGTTTGGTTACGGCGCTCCAAAGGCAAAACTTACCACCGCAGCCTTCGCCCACGGCATCCCATCATCATGGCATCGTGTACGGCAACAACATGGCCGGGAACCCGTGCGGGGCCCTGTCCGGGCCTTCCTACGGATGCTCTTCCACGGCATCGGCACCGCCAGCTACACATCCGACTCCCTGTCAGACCTACGGCCAACCTATTCCCCGTTACCCACCACACCCCGGCCCTCGTCCACCCTCCTTTGGCGGCTCTCTCCCCCCCCCTCCCGGCGGCAACCCCTTTCCCCCCCCTCCCCCCGGCCCCTTCTCCCGCCCTCCCCCTTCCCCCTCCCCCTCCACCGCCTCGCAATCCAAACCTCCCCCGGCCCTTCGACCCATCCACTCAGTCCCAACACCAACCGAGTTCAACCCTGGCGACGATCACTACGACACCACCCGCGTCGCGGGGTACGACCAGCCCAAGGTCATAACGCACACCGCGTTTACTCGGCAAATGGGCATCGAGGGACAAGACATCGCTCGCGTCCCCCTCCTCCACTTCATGCACGAACAGTGGAACAGTTGGTGGTTGCGTCACCTCGCCCACGGAGGCGAAGTCCGCATCGTTGTCGCAAAGTCGATGCCGGAATCAGTGTTTGCTGCTGGACTACTCAGCCAAATCCGACAACGGCACCTCGACCTGGACGCCCTCGCCCTCCATGTAGCCACGCAGGAGGGCGCCTCGACCACCAAACCAGCAGCCATGAAGCTACTCACCAGCAAGATCTTCGACTTCCTCATCTCCCTCCGACCCACCACTACGGCCGACCCGGCCTCCGCGGCCACCATACTCCAGCTTCAGCAACAGCTTGCTGACGCACACAACCAACTCGCCCAGCAGGCTTCATCCCCCCCCTCTCCCCCCCACACCCACCTCATCCAACAAACGCCCAGCCAATCCATCTCAGGCCTCCCTCCTGGACTTCGGCATGAAGCGACCACGGTTGACTACACCTGACACATCACCGCAGGACGGATCCCCCGCTCTACCCCTGCCCACTCGCATTGCAGACGACTCCCAACCCCCCCGGCTCCCCCCACCCACGGCGGCAACCCTCCAGCCCCCTCCACCCACGGCGGCACCCCGACCCCTCCCCCCCTCCCCTCCCCACCCACTTGGAAGGAGCCCCGCGACTTGCTCCAACCACCTCCCCACGTTTGCCAATGGCTCACCAGCAACTTCCCACCCGACATTTCCGACACCAAAGTCCAGCGATGGATCACCTCTCAGAAAACCAGCAAAGAGAGCAAGCAAGTCCTAAAAAGCTGGTCCAACGACTGCGCAAAATGGGCAACCACACTGGACTCCGACACCAGAGCCCAACTCGAACGAGCCGCTGTGCTATGGGGCATCCCGGTGCGAACCCTATCAAAACTGGGGTCATCGGCCTTGGGCCGCATCCTGGCCGCTGCGAGTCACTTCTACCAGTGACTCTCAACAGCACACCGACAACGACGCACAGCCAGGCAGCACAAATTTTGGCAACACCACTGCTGCCAATTCTCACTGTCCTCCGTTTCACTCTTCGGTTCTTCCCAACCGATGACGTCACCGCACGTCATTCTTGCTCCTGGCTACTCGCACAGCTTCAGCTACTTGACGTCTGCCATCTCTCCTGTGGTTCCGGCAGACTGAAAGCCCTGCTTACTCGACTTGGCCTGGACAACCCTGCTTCCGATTTCTCTTCTCAGCTTGTCCCTTCAGCGGTTTATCTGAGATTCACCAGCCATCCAAAGTGGCAGGCCTTTTTCTACCTCGGAGCCACTCGCGCCTCCCTCATGGCACGGGGCCGCAGCCAACTTCGCAAACTACTCCAAGTTCAGCGACATCATCTGGTCAATGCCGAACTGGCAGTCCGGTGGTGGGCACATTTTGACTTTTTCCACCACTACACCTCGGTGCCCATTCACACTGTCGTTCCGGCAACGGACCTATTTGCCACTGAACAGTTCTACATCCAGGAACTGCAACCGTCTCTCAATTTTGGCTTCATCGAGAAACATTTCCGGCCACGCACGGGCTTCATACGCCAATTGGACTTCTCCCAATCCCGGCACATGGGCTTCGCCACCATCTGGCGAAAACGCCGCCGACTACGACTACCCATCGCCCTACAACAGGCCTTCCTGGCCAAACGCGTGGACAACCGCCTGGATTTGTGGCGATTTTTGGGCGATCTTGGCAGCAACACTCTACGACGATTTGATGCCATCCGTTACATACGGAGCAGAGACTTCCCACCCGCCGCTCTCTATGTCCTTCATCGCATAGCCACACACCTACCTGAACCACACCACCAGGCATGTCTTTCCGTCATTCGATCCAGTTTACGATTCCGGGGCCTCATTCCACCTGGCCCCTCCAGACCGATGCTTGCACCCTTCCTCGCCTGGCGACTACTGCTAACCTGGTACCGACAACGACAACCACACTCCTCTACCACACACCTCACAGTGGACACACTTGACACCTCTGCCATCACCCGCGTCTACAACGGACGCCGTCGCCGACACAAACCCACACAACGCACCCTGTGGCTCGACGACATCCCCGAGATCATTCAGGCCACCCTTGACATGCAGATCTTCTCTGTCGGCCTTCGTTCATTCAGGCAAACACGTGGGGCACCGATGGGATCCCCCGCGTCCCCAGCTCTCTGTTTGATGGTGATCGCGGTCGCCGAACAATGTTGGACCAACACTCACATCACATCGGGACTTCGCTCCGTTGAAGATACTCTCCTACTCCGCTACGTGGACAACAGACTCGTGATCGCAACCCCCAGGTGGCTCTCGACTCCGGCAGCCAACATACTGTGCGACGAACACTTCTATGGAGGAGACATCTTCCTGGACACAGAAGCCGCCCTGGACTTCTTGGGGTTCCGACTGAACCTCACAAGCAGCACCATCTCCATCATCCCCTCGCATGAGAAGCACAACATGCTCTCCGTCAAGTCAGCCGCACCACTGATGCATAAGGAATCTGGATGTTATTCCGGACGCACGCTGATCAACCGAGTTTCCTTTCCTGAGTTTCAGCGAGGTCAGGGTCTTGCAATGTTGAAGAGGTTGCACCTCCAACACGGTTTCACCTTACAAAGAGAAGAAAAACCGTCCTTTGCGGAACCACACTGGTTTTCTTCTCTGCCTTTGCATCCTGACAGATTTGACCTGATTTTCGCGCCGCAGCTGTTTGACTGTTTGACCAAAATCCGTTACGAGCATGGATACCAACACAGCACGCCAGCTGCTCCAAGACTTCGAACTCATCCTTGGCATTGCCCAACAAGGCATCGCCACCATCCGCGAGTTCCCTGAGAGTCCGCCTGCCGAACCTGATTTGGCACCGGAGGCCACGCTCAACCCCGCCATTGAGGACCTCTTTGAGCCACCTCCTGATGCTCCAGATGAACACCTTCCCACTGATCATGACGAACAATTCCCTGATCATTGGGCTCCGCCCACCCCTCCTCCGTCTTCTCCCGGCGAAAAACGAGCTCGCCGCGCACGTGATTTGGCCTCCTCACGATCTACGGCATCCAAAACCTGCTCGTGGACCAAGCGAAGCTACCACATCGACCAGGACTGATGCCTCTACTGAGGCCGAACCTGAAGCCTCGCAGCCTTGGACTGAGGGAGAGATTGAACTCCTCCGTTCCCTTAAGACCAATTCCAAAGCCAAGTATGTGTGGTCAGTCATCGCCACAAGACTTTCTCGCACAATTGATGCTTGCAAGACTCAATGGGCCTTGCACAAGTGATGTCGCCCCAGTTGGGGCTCCGTGTGTGTGAAGCGTCCTGGAGCACGGACGGAAATTCCACATTGCAGGGGGACTGGAGCCGATTTGCCTATCCAGTCCAATGAAGCTACGGCATTTCGGTGGATACCGGATCTGATCAATCCGGCGTACCTGCCTATTTCCTGACCCTCTTTCCTGATTCTTTTTGCGGTTTCTGTTTGTCGCTGTTGCTTCCTGTTCGGTGTCGATGTTGTGACCTGTTGATTTGCATTTGCATTCATGCATTTTTACTGACTGCGTTTTGCATCTCGGCTAGTGAAGCCTCTCGAGATAAGTGTGTGTGTGCTTGTTTGCTCGTTCCTGCTTTTGATTGCCGGGGGTTGGTTGTCATTGTTGCTAGAGTGCGTTCTTGCGGTGGTGCTTTGCTTGCTTGACGTGCTTGCTGCGGGCATGGCTGGAGGGTTTGCTGGCCGTGCTTGCTTGCGTGCTTGCTTGGCGGGCGTGCGTGCAGTGATTGCTTGCGTGCTTGCTTGCGTGCTTGGCTTGCTGGCTTTCTTCTTTCTTTCCATCACTTTTTCTTCCTTTCTCTCTTTCCTTCCTTCCTTCCTTCCTTCCTTCCGTCCGTTCTTTCCTTCCTTCCTTCCCGTTTGCTTCTTTGTGTCTTTGCTTCTTGTTTCTGAGTTCTTTGTTTGATTGCTTGCTTGCTTGCTTGAGGCTTGGCTTGTGTATGTGTCTTTGTGTTGTGACACAGAGAGAGAGAGAGAGAGCGAGAGAGAGAGAGAGAGAACGAAAAGGGGGGGGGTTGCGTTTTCACTGCATGGAATGACACAAATCAGAACCCAGCCGGACGAAAACTCTGCCTATGCACATCTGCACTTTCAAGAAACTGAAACGTCTCTTGGTCATTCCTTTCCTTGGCGCTTCTCAGATGCCGATGATGCTGCCGCCCCAGGTGCGAAGGGTCAGCTTGTCTTAGCCGTTTGGGTATGCCCAGTATGCACTTGCTTGAAAGGTCACACTCCTCAATTGGCAAGTGGATCCGGGCATTCTTTGAGAGGGCAGCACGGATTTGCCTTGGAAGACCGGTCTTCCAAGGCGCTGTCTGGGAAAACGTTCAGAGCTTTGTGTGTGACGACAGATTGATCTGCACTCCACCTATCTGCCACATTTGCGCATCATCATTTCGACAGTTGGACCGTGAGCATGCTGTTTTCTTGTGTAAGTTCACAACCGATTTCCCTTTGTGCACGGTTTGGTGCCATTGAGATCCAACATCAATTGAGCGGGGCACTTGGGCCACTTGGGCCACTTGGGCCACTTGGGACTTGGGGCATGTTCCGCGTGTTCTCGACGTTCGCTTCGTAGGCGGGCGGTGCCCCAGCTGCTGGGGCAGCGCCGGCGGCCTCCTCGGCTGTGGTGGAGGCAAAGCAGGCGGGCTCGGGCCTTGCGTCGACGGATCCAAACGCGCGCCTGTTGGGCCAACTTTGAGGGACGAACATGAAATCTGCAGATTTCACTTAAGAGTGTCGTTCAATGTCGATTCAAAACGACTCAGATGACGTGTACTTAGATTAGATGAGACAAGCTGATCATGGCTTATGTTGGGGAACTTGCGAACTGACGCTGGTGCTTGCAGGTGTTTGGGACAGGAGCCAGTAGGAAATGAAGAGCACTGGATGGGCCCTGCAGTCACCAGTATTTTACCCAATGCAATGCACAAGGCTTCGCCTCAAAAACTTCTTCTAGGCGAACAAGAAACAACTGGCTTTGCAAAAATATACAGGTTGAGCACGTGGCATGCTGGAACCGTCCTTGGACACTGCCTGCGGATCCTAGTTGAGAGAAGGGAACTGGCACTCACTCCACAGGTCGGTTTGGACGCCAACATGGTCACGTCCACCGTCCAGGCTTCGGGTTGGCTGCAAGTTTCTTCAAGATGGCTCTGCCAGAAAGGAGGTTGGGGATCCAGGGATGGGTGGCACAGCCCTTGCAGATGCTCGACGACATGTCGGACGAAGGGCATGAACGACACTTGACAACAGCAACAACAATTACCTCAATCTCCACACTGTTGGCCCTGCTCATGCATTGTATTATCCACCGTTACGATACACAGCTGGTTGCTACATCTACCATTATGTAGTTGGATTGTGCCAGCATCGATAAACAAGACACACGATGCCGGCAAAGTTGATTGAGCATGGCACAATCACAGCCGAACAAGGCTTGTGAGGGTGCTACCGCAGCCATACACCCTTGCCACATGTGGCCAAATGTGCACATGTTCTGTTGGCAGAGAGCAGTGGGCGGTTGGCCTCTTTCAGGAGATGGCGCGTCAAGCCATTGGAGTGGACGACGAGCTGTATTTAGACAGCAGGGGTTCCCCAGGGCAGCTTTGCAGGAGTTTGCTTTGAGGCCTAGTGGCAGGCAAAAGAAGACAGGCGTCTCAAGCATTTTGGAGAAAGGTGACCACCAGGTTTAGCATGCGATGAACAGCATGAGCACAAGCAGGCAAAAGGACGAGACTGGGAAGGAACGACTCGAAGCCGTTCTTCACATGACATATTCCTGTTGCCCTAACTTGCTGATTCTGCATTGTCATGCAAAATGCTGTGTGTTTCTGCACCTTGATATTTCTTCCGAGGCGCTTTGATGGACTCAGGCATGGACAGCCTGACGGCAGTATCTTTCAGGACCAGACTTGAGGTTGATCTCGGCTGCCAGATGTTCTCTCCGCTGCAGGAACGGCTTGCAGCAACAGCTGGGTGTGAAGCTGCCCTCGTCTTTGATGTTCGACTACCCCACCATGAAGGCGAGGAAGGGCGGAGCGGAAGAGCGGGGAACCTGCCTCATGGGGCGTGTGGCTTGTTGAGCAGCTCCGTCATGCGAGGTCACAGTTGAGCGCATTGCTTTTTTACCGGGTAGGGAGTGCCAGACAGAGAGAGAGAGAGAGAGAGAGAGAGAGAGAGCGAGCCCACTTCCGCACGCCGGACGCAGCCATTTCTGCCGCAGCCTCCTCGACAACTGAAAGGCAACGTCATGTCCCAACTCAGAAGGCTTCAGAATTAGATTTGCCCAGCATTTGAGGAATGCAGGATGCATGTTACTTTGCGGCAAAATCTGTGGCAACCAACCCAAAACTGCCAACACTCCGTCAGTCATGGCTGCGAGCCTGGGCGACATTTGGATTCAGGTCGCCCAATTTATGGGCAGACGTGAGATTGGCTGTTGTGACGCGGCTGCAGTTTTCGCCAGGGCTCAGGCAAACTTCTTGTGGCACAGCGCTGCTATGTCAGTCCTGGCAGAGTCTCCCATTTGGAGTCGATCCGGAGAAGGAGTGGTCGAGCAGCTGCTGGAGCAGGGGACACGTGGGAAGCACTTTCTTCGAGAGTTGCAGCTACTCCGACGGGCAATGTTTCCTCCCAAAGTGTGGGCTCCTGCGATTGTGGAGACGTCGTTCTGCAGCTTTCAGGCAGGGGAGTAGACACTGCAGACTGATGCCTCTCATGATTAGATTTAGTAGTACCGGGTTGGTCCCTCTAAGAGGAGATCCTGCTTAAATTGGAATTGAGAGGTCCGTCATGCCAGGAGGTGACAGTCTGTGATGCTGCTGTACTGGTAGCTCCAGAAGGTTCACAAAACGAGAAACTCATTCCAGATTCGAATCACCTATGTGTTTGTGGTGGTTTTTGACGCAGCTTGCACCAACACTCAATACTTGACCTTAAGTTTTTGGGAGTGTTTCTTGATGTTTCCGAGCGTATGCAAAGCAAACAGGAACAACAGCAACTTTCGCTGCCACAACTGAATTCGGGAACTCCTGGAGGCAGTTCCGGTTGAGGATGGCGAGAGTGTGCCCAACGAGGCCGGGCCTGTGAGTGTTTCTTGTGGTAATTTGGCAAGAATATCACTGCAAAGCCTTGCGTACATTGATCAACGCCCAAGAGCCAGGCGAGTTGCTAGGACTTGACCTCAAATTGGATCCTTGGGATGTGAGCATTCGAGGTTGCCATCCCGCTGACCATCGGCGCAACCTCTAAACAGACCCTCGCCGTTGGCTTGGAACTCGTCACAGATGGGACGGCTGAGAGTGTCGCTTCGGCAGTTTGCATTGGTGTGGCTTGGTTGCAAGATGTCTTGCCTGCCAGGGTCTTCAAGCCTCTGTGCTTGGCAAATTCCAGGGTGATCTGAGGTGGAAGTATGTGCTCCAAGGGATGATGGCCGTGTGATATCGCTGATGTTTGCGCCGATGTCAGGCCAGTGCTACATGCAGTACTTGGATTCTCAATGCATTGTGAGCACTTCAGTGCTACCTCCGGTCCCCGAACCGGTTGATGGGCCAATTTCGGTTTGGGCAAAGGTTGCAGAGGATGGTGGCATCTTTTTTCTGCGACAGATTCCTGGTTGCACCGTGGAGGAGTCGGGCAAGCTGCCACGAAAGGCTTTGCCATTATGGGCTGCGGAATTCTTCGTGTGCGTGTACCTTTGGATGGATTACTTGAAGACGCCCGTGAGTATTTCCGTGCCGTACTCTGCCAAGAAGCTGCCAATCTCCTTGGAGTTGGCATTTCCGCAGCGGGAGATCGAGTCCACTTGGCACCTGCACCAGTGAGGCGAGTGAGGTGAGTGAGACCAGTGAGACGAGTCAGAGGGGAGAAGGGGAGAAGGGGAGAAAGGAAAGAGGAGAGCTTCGGAGCCGTGGAGCCGGGAGCTAGCGGGACATGCTGAGGCAACGTTCACATGAGGGGACTTACAACGTCCTTGGCAGTCCTGGAGGGGTGACTTTCAGTTCCCAGAATTCGTATGAGTGAACTTTTGGAGAGGTTTCTGTTCCCACGCGGGCGAGATACCATTTCCTGGAAAGTTCCTTGCATTTGCATGCCCCTTAGGCATTTCGGCATGCCTAAACATTGGCTGAGGCAGGCTCCAAGAGTGCAAGCGGCAAGAGCTCCAGGCAACCTTTGCATACCGTGAAGTAATGAAGTAAAGTAAAAAGAAGGAAAAATGGCAAAGGAGAGAAGAGAACGCCTCAGCCCGCTGGTGATGCACCAACGTTTGGGTGCCAAGTCAAAGGGCTGAATGTGACAGCTGGTTCAGAAGGTGTATAGCCGGAACTTCTGAAGATTGTCCAATCATTTTGGATCTTCCTCCGGGAAGCAGGTCTACTCAACTCGAGGGCCTTTGCTTCCAAGAGTCGCGCAAGGGCCGCTCGATTTTTTTTCGCCTAATGAACGAAGGCGGGAAAGTCTAGACATATCGCGACTAAGAAAAGAGCTGCTCCACGACATGCTTCACATTGATCTCCTCCATGCGCGGGAGGAGCAGAAGAGGTTCAACTCCCATTTGTTAATTTCAGGCATGCTCGCAGTCTCGTCAAACCCGAGAAGGCCCGTTGGCTCAGCGCTTGTGCAGTGCTTTTGGCTAGGAAGTGGCCAATCGCATTGTGGAGCTCAGCCGCTAGGCAGCAAACGGCATCCCTCTCTGCAGACTGGCTGCAATCCGCTTTGATTTAAAACACCGACTGAGGCATCGAGAATGCCTGAGACGCATTGGGAAGGCTTTTGTGCCCCAACTGCCTATTTCGCTTTACGCATTCGCCAAGAGATGTTTACTTGCAAACGGCCCATAGAGAGGGCACCTTCGCACCTTCCGCCGGGCCGAGCTTTAGATCGAAGGCTCGGTGAGACGCCAGCTGGATGGAATCCGCAGCCCCTTTTGCGCCTAAGGGGCATTCAAATTCTGTCTTTTCTTCCGAGCTGATTCACCAGAGGACCATATCTTCCCCTTCTATGTTGTAATGGCCACCATTTGGCTGTCTTCTTTCGAGCAGTTTCACGGCATTCTTCCGATTCGAGAGGGTATGGTGAGCATGCAATGCCGAGGGTGGTGGAAAAAGACATGCTGTGACCAGCGAAGTGAGCCTTTCGCCAGCGAACCTGGGCTTGGTACACTTTGACTCCAGAGTGGGCGTGTTGTGGCTGCGCAAACTCCACAATCTGAGCCGTTTGAGGCTGAATGCAGTATGCAGCATGAAGCAGATTGAGGCAAGACTGGCACTAGAAAACAGCAAAGGTCCTCCCAGCAGCCGTGTGCCTTGAGCCCTGCTTGAGGGTATTTCCTTGTGCGTGTAGCGGTTTCTTCAGATCAGCTGAGGCTTTCGCACGAGGGTGGAAAGGAGGGAGGTGAAAGCTCCAGCCCAGGTCTTTGCCTGAACCAATGCGCACCTGGCTTGCCTTCCGTCGCCATGGGGAGTGGCCTGTGCAGGGAGGTGGACGAGGCAGCGCCTCCGATGGTGCATACCATGCTCTATCCAATGTACGTGCTGAAGGCGGGCGAGGGCTTGGGCTGGGCACAATATTCCGCAGGAATCAA